AAAGTGGATGGCAGCACATATTTACATGCACACACAGTTCATACTTTTACGTGAATGGTGTTAAATGCACTATATAATGACGATTAAGACTTTCTCAGCACAGCTGTCAAAGACATGAAATATTCAATCATCAGCTTTCTCACTCTAGCATCAGATCGCCAACATAAGTCCTCAATATCAAGACCATATACTGCATTTCAACATCTCCCTGGTGTTTCACAGCTGTGCCTTTCATCTTCTTACTGACTGAATGCTGGACTCACTTCCGGCTAAATAAAAATGTGTCTCTCCTACCTCTTAGATGATGTGCTGGAATGTAGCAGTGGCTACATTTAAAAGGAATTATAGCTGAACCCTGCAGGCCTGGCAAACATATCAGCATTTCTACAGCTCTGCAGCTGTCTCTGAGCCAGCTACAGTCCCTTCAGAAACCCCACCCACCCAGAAGAACAAGAAAAAGTGCGCAAAATGGCCTTCCAAAAAACGAAATAAGTGTCGAAATTAGATTGCTTGGAATGTAACAACTCTATTTGCGACCACCACTTCAGCTGATTTAAATTGAATGAATTGGAACTAAATGGAACTGAGAGTTCTGACTGGCTTCTAACATTAGGCCCTGACACACACAACCTTTGAACAATGCTGCTTCCTTCTGCTTTCGGAGCAAAATCAAAAGAAAGACTGGGTGTACCAGACCTCGCCTATTCATTTTATCACTTCAGCAGTAGCCTGGGTTTATGGCGACTACTTAATTAAAAACAAAAAAACAGAGGCTTGTACCAAGCTTCATAGATGTTACATAAAGCACAGTATTTTTTATAATGATTTGCAAGTCAATAGCAGTTTAATCCATCAGAATTTTGCTTTTGCACAAGGAAATGACTGTTGAAAATCTTACACAAGCTTGATTGGGTTACGATAATGAACGAAAGGGTAACCGCAGTCTTCATTTCATTTAGTTTCACCCAGTCAAATCAATAGCAGAGGAACAATCAATCTTTGAAACAAGCAACTCAGTAAACTCAATTCCTTCTCAAAGCAAATATGTTCAAACCTTTTGTCTTCAAGAAAAATAAAAACTCCCAGGAGATTATTGTAAAAAGACAAGGCCAAGAAAATAAGCTTGAATGATAGCAGGATGATTTGAAAAGCAATTTTAAAGCAGGTTTAAAGATGACATGCTTGTTTTCACTTTGCTCTAAGCAAGTACCATATTTTCCAGAAAATAATTCGCACAGGGTCAAAATTGCATTGTTGAGAGAAAAAAATAGATACAAGTGTGCAAGTCACATTTTTTTTAAACACTATAAATATGTATTTTAGTTCCCCATACTCCAAAACAAATCCTATGGTATTCAGAACAGGATTGCAAAATAAAAGTATAAAACAAATGATTTATATCAGCATTTTTTATAAACAACATCTATTGCAAACGCTAAAGTTGAACACATTTATTTGAAGTGAAACAGAAGTGTGTGGGAATGCACTATACAAATAAATCTGTGCTCATACATCGCTGTCATTCAGTGCAGATCTGTGCGTGTGTGTGCATTGGAATACATATGTTTTCATTGTATAATATACACTATAATATAGCAATTTCTCTTCTTTTGTATTTGGGTACAGTCCCATTCCCAGGTTGGTTACCCTAATCTTTTTATTCTCCTCTTTAAACTAGCATCTGCTAGGGGATAGGATTCTCCCCCTTACCCTTTCTCCCACGGGCCATCTGCTTCCTAACCCACACAAACACACTTAGACTCAGTCCAGCTAAAACCCTCTGCATTTTTAATGAGGTTTGCCACTGAGAAGGACAGCTTGTGGGGCTACAGTGGCCGGGGGCGGGACCCTCTGGCTGCACGGGAGTGAACTCATCTCTCTAGCCTTGCCAGAAAACACTAGGTCTACAGACGAGGATCAGCAACACCCTTTGTAATTGCCCTGCGCTGTGGGCCTCTTTAAAGCTCAGTGACACCACAAGAAAGGAGGAGGAGGAATAAGAAAATTAAATACGGTCGATTAAGTAGAGAAAAAAAAATGTACGAATAGGTGACCCGCATTTTTCAGCTGAAATAACCAATAATGATGTTTCTCCAGTCGTGCAGCTGATACTACAAGCTAATGGGCCTTATGCTCTGTGATTTATTACTGCAAAGTGAAAGAAATCCTTTTATTTCTCAGCCATTTTAACATCTTAAAATGTCTGAGTGCCTTGTCTGATCTGTGCCTGTGGTAAAAACAACCAAGACAAACCCGAATGCTGAATTTGCAGATGGCACTGGTTAAATCAGTGACATTGGTTTGGTTGTAAATGTTGCTGTCATTACCAACCCTGTACACATCAACATCAACGTCAGGTGCAAGCAGCCTTATGAATATGTAAATATTCACAGTGAGAAAAACAGGTAGAGAGGAAGGGACTAATGGCAGAGTGAGAAGAGGGTACTGAACGCAAAATTAACAATGTGAATTTTTAATCTTAACGTTCTCTCGTTCAAAATATCTCGTTCTCTCGTTTAGAGTTCAAAATATTTTTTTTTTTGCGGAGGGGGGGGGGGGCTAT